CTCTCGGGTTCAAGTGATTCTTCGGCCTCTGCCTCCTGAGTAGCTGGGACTACAGGCACACGCCACCACGCCCGACTAATTTTTGTATTTTTAGTAGAGACAGGGTTTTACCGTATTGGCCAGGCTGGTCTCAAACTCCTGACCTCATGATCTTCCTGCCTCAGCCTCCCAAAGTCCTGGGATTACAGGCGTGAGCCACCATGCCTGGCCAGAAGCTTTTAAGCCTGACACAATTCCATTTGCCAATTTTTGCTTTGATGTCTGTGCTTTAGAGGTCTTATTCAAGAAATCTTTGGCCAGATGCAAGATGAATAGCCAGTCCATGTCCTTTCAGATTATATTAGGCCAGACGGCCAAAGAATCTTTACAGCTGTGGACACAAGTAAATATATATTGGTGTTCATTTCAAATGAATACAAAAATCTCTGATCTGATAGTGATGGAAAGAGAGATGTTCCAAATCAATGGTCTCACATTATGTCCATAGGTTGTGTTAATCTCCTGCCACAGGCAAATGATACTAGACACAGCTGCAACTGAGTCAACTATTTACTTGAGTTTGTGGTAGATCCACTGTCATCCCACAGCATTCATCTGGGTGGATTTTTGCACGAACCAGAGTGGTAACTTAAATGGTAATGTGACCAGAGATCACTACTAATACATTCTTTTTCTTTGAGACAGAGTCTTGCTCTGTCACCCAGGCTGGAATGCAGTGGCGCCATCTTGGCTCATTGCAACCACTGCCTCCCAGGTTCAAGTGATTCTCCTGCCTTAGCCTCCCGAGTAGCTGGGACTACAGGAGCGTGCCACCAAGCCTGGCTAATTTTTGTATTTTTAGTAGAGATGGGGTTTCACTGTGTTAGTCAGGATGGTTTTGATCTCCTGACCTTGAGATCCACCTGCCTCAACCTCCCAAAGTGTTAGGATTACTGGCATGAGCCACCACGCCCAGCCTCTAGTAATACATTCTTGAAAGGTGGTTCTAATATCTGCCACTTCCCCAGAATGTAACAATGCTTTTGATTTACCATCTTGGCTAGTGGAGGTAGGTAGTTTCAAAGGATTCAACTTGATTTGACCCTGTAGGGGCAGCTCTTCTCTAGAGGCCATGGGGCCAATGTAAGGGTTACACCAGCTACAAAGTATGTCGTTTCCAATTGTACATGTGACAGCTGTGGAGATGCCCACTGGGTGTGTCCACGGTCCCAGTGTACCTACTGTAAGCCGGACAACGACCAGGATTTCATTTATTACCTAGCCTGCACATACCCCTGGTTAAACAAGGGGACTATGAGGACACTTTGCATCTCTGAGTATTACCTAGACAAATAGCTATAGGTCCTTTTGCAGAAAGACTTGGGTAATCATTATCATGTGCCTTTGCCTTAGTTTTGCAGTCTGCTTCCACTTAGCAATCAAGCCCCTCCTCCAGTCAATAGGTGTCAGCTCTGAAAACTGAAAAGGATGGAGGAGACCATTAATTACTACTGGGTGCCTTGCCTCCAGCTCCTAATGATTCATTCATCCACACTTCTGGTTGTATGGTTTGAGCAATGCCCTCGCTGGCTGCCCATCTATCTTGCCTCCAGGAAATTGTGTTTTATTAACCATCATTTGTAGATCAAGTGCCCCAGACTGTCACTCCAAACTTGTCACTTATTAGGAAAATTGTTCATGCCTGTGCCACACCCTGATCGCGATTATTTTTGAATCATATCTCCGTTGTTATCAGTGAGTCCAGTTCTGCAATAATATCTCCTATTGGCAACAGTTCCCAATGATGCTGGTGTTCCTCTTATTAGCACATTTCTTAATGCTTCGATAAATGCTCTCTGGGTCCACTTGCAAAACAGTCATATAGTAGATTCATTGGATGGGACTGATTCAGGGTTTCTCTGAGGTTGCAGTCAAGGTATTAACTTGGACTGTAGTCACCTGAAGCTTGACAGAAGCCAAGACATCCACTTCCAAGGGGACTCACTCACACGGCTGGGAAGCTGGTACTGGTTATATTGGAAAGCCTTGGTTCTTGTCCACAGAAGCAAGTCCACAGGGCAGCTTGAAAGACATGGTGGCTTACTTAAGGGCAAGCAACTGAAGACCAAAGTAAAATTCACAATACCTGCTATGAACTGGTTTTGGAAAGCATGTATTTTCACTTCCATTGTATTATACAGATCACACAGGAGAGGACTGGACAAGGGTGTGAATATCAGGAGGTGAGGATCACTGGGGACCATCGTGAAGCCTGCCAACTGTAGTCTACCCTCCGCTTCCAGTGATTCATATTCCTCCCATGTGCAAAATACCTTCACCTGCTCCCAATTCCACAATCCTTTATAGCATCGACTCAAAGTCCTGGTAAAGCAAACCCGCACAGATTATGAATTTAAGCTTTTCTAGAGCTCTCCTATTCTTTTGATTAAGTTTGGGGCTTAGTTCTCAGTTTTTTTCTTTTCTTTGGCTACTGCGGATGAGAATCTCTTTATATGTTTCCTGGGAGGCTCACTAGATTTTATAACACCTAGCCTCTGATGGTTAATCGTAAACAATGTCCATGTATCCGTTCTCCCCCAGCAATACCTATCCAATTCTATAGTCCATGTAACTACTACTAATCCCATATTTTTCAAATGCTTGATGGATGTCACTAACTGATGCATTTATTTTCCCTGGTATATCATCCCAATTCACCACATATGAACACTGTACTGCTAACTTGTACCACAGTCTACCACTTATCTTATCATTTACTTTCTCTGGCAACTCTGGGTATCAGTAATCACTAACTGGTTCCCTGGGAAGTAAACTGTAAGATGAAAATTGGCATCCAGGAAGTTTATATAAGAGAAATTAGCATGCAGGAGTGTGTGGGCCCAACACCTGTGTGAAGAAAGGAAGGATACCAATTTGAGAGAGAGAATAGTAGGGCTACAGTACATACAGTGACAACAAGGTCAACCACACAAGGAGTTCTGCAGCTTGGATGACCATTCAGAGCTGACTGGAGCTGGAGGAAAAAGCTAGGCCTTAATATCCCCACCTTGAGCAGTCACTGGATGTAGGCTATTCCAGGAAAACGAGCCTAATTTGGGATGAGGTGGCTCTGTTCAACTGAGGTTATATTGTTGGAGAGGGTCGTGGCATCCACAATGGCCATATTTTCAGAGATGCTTCATTAACATAACTTGTCATTAACATAACATAACTTATTAGAAATGTTCCTTCTGTCCATCCTTCTCTCAATTAATAGATCATCGCTCTATTTATTTTCCTAATGGCATATACTGTGTGCTACAATTATCTTATTTTTCATTCAATTGTTAAGCACTTTTATCCACACTAAAATATAAGTTGTAGTTTATAGGATCCTTTCCTTACACCATATACAAAAATCAACTCTGGCAGAGATTTCATGAAGATGTCAAAAGCAATTGCAACCAAAGCAAAAATTGACAAGTGAGATCTAATGAAACGAAAGAGCTTCTGCACAGCAAAAGAAACTATCAACACAGTAAACAGACAACCCACAGAATAGGAGAAAAAGTTTGCAAACTATACATCTGACAAAGTCTAATATCCAGCATCTATAAGGAACTTAAACAGTTTACAAGTAAAAAAAATCCCATTAAAAAGTCAACAAAGGACATGAACAGAGACTTTTCAAAAGAAGACATACACGTGGCCAAGAAGTATATGAAAAAAAGCTCAATACTGCTGATCATTAGAGAAATGCAAATCAAAACTACTGCAAATCAAAACTACTCATATCTGTCAGAATAACTATTATTGAAAAGTCGGCCGGGCGCGGTGGCTCACGCCTGTAATCCTAGCACTTTGGGAGGCCAAGACGGGCGGATCACAAGGTCAGGAGATCGAGACCATCCTGGCTAACACAGTGAAACCCCGTCTCTACTAAAAATACAAAAAATTAGCCGGGCGTGGTGACAGGCGCCTGTAGTCCCAGCTACTCGGGAGGCTGAGGCAGGAGAATGGCGTGAACCCAGGAGACGGAACTTGCAGTGAGCTGAGATCGCGCCACTGCACTCCAGCCTGGGTAACAGAGCAAAGATTCTGTCTCAAAAAAATAAAAAAATAAAAAAAGTCAAAAAGTAACATACTGGTGAGGTTGCAGAGAAAAGGGAATGCTTATACACTGTTAGGGGAGTGTAAATTAGTTCAACCATTGTGGAAAGCAGTGTGGCAATTCCTCAAAGAGCTAAAAGCAGAACTACCATTCGAGCCAGCAATCCCATTACTGGGTATATACCCAAAGGAACAGAAATTGTTCTGTCATAAAGACACATGCACATGTACATTCACTGCAGCACCATTCACAATAGCAAAGACATGCAATAAGCCTAAATGCCCATCAATGGTAAACTGAATAAAGAAAACGTGGTACATATACACCATGGAATACTACGCAGCCACAGAAAAGAACGAGATCATTTCCTTTGCAGGAACATGAATGGAACTGGAGGCCATCATCTTTAGCAAACTAACACAGGAACAGAAAAACAAATACCGCATGTTCTCACTTAAGAGTGGGAGCTAAATGATGAGAATACATGGACACAAAGAGGGGAACAACAGGCACTGGGACCTCCCAGAGGGTAGAGGTTGGGAGAAGGGAGGGGAGCAGAAAAAATAACTATTGGGTACTAGGCTTAGTGTCACCTGGGTGACAAAATAATCTGGACATCAAACCATTATGACCTGAGTTTTTCGATATAACAAACCTTCACATGTACCCCTGAACATAAAATAAATGTTAAAGACAAAACAAAATCTAATTATATTCTGGAGGGAGGAGAAAATGACACTTTTGATTATATACTATATATATTTTATCTTTCTCAAAGGAAGTAAACATGATGGCTATGACCTGTTATTAACATCTAATTTTTATTTTGTATTTCCAGTAACAAGCATTTACAATGAACTGTAAACTAAGCTTCAGTTTCATCAAGAATAAAAGATCTTTGAAACAGTACCTTGCACAAATGTTTGATCTGGATACCTGCTCTCAAATCCGTTGGTTCAGCTTCAAAATACTTGCTTTGCATTTGCTCATAAAATTGACTTACTTCAGTTTTTTTCTCAGGTGATTCCACAAACCAGTAAGAGCGCTATGAAGGGAAGAAAAGTACAATCACTGCCATGGCACGGAAAGGCAGTATTAAACAATACTTTGGTCTGTTAGCTTTTGTACTGAGATGGATTGCACAAAATTTCTTGAAATTAAAATTTTGGAGCTAATTGGCTAGTGTCTGAACACCCTGGGCATAAAACACGGACCATCCTTTTTTTTTCTTTTTTTTTTTTTTGAGACAGAGTCTTGCTTTGCTGCTCAGGCTGGAGTGCAATGGCGCAATCTCGGCTCACTGCAACTTCCACCTCCTGGGTTCAAGCAATTCTCCTGCCTCAGCCTCCCGAGTAGCTGGGACTGCAGGTGTGCACCACCACACCTGGCTAATTTTTGTATTTTTAGTAGAGACGTGGTTTTGCCATGTTGGCCAGACCAGTCTTGAATTCCTGACCTCAGGTGATCTGCCCTCCTTGGTCTCCCAAAGCGCTGGGATTACAGGCATGAGCCGCGGTGCCCAGCCGAAAAGCAGACTACTCTATTAAAATTGTAAGAGGCCGGGTTCGGTGGCCCAGGCCTGTAATCCCAGCACTTTGGGAGGCCGAGGCGGGTGGATCATGAGGTCAAATCGAGACCATCCTGGCCAACACGGTGAAACCCCGTCTCTAATAAATATCCAAAAACAAAACAAAACAAAACAAAACAAAACAAAACAAAACAAAACAAAAGGCCGGGTGCAGTGTCTCATGCCTGAGGTCCCAGCTACTCAGGAGGCTGAGGCAGAAGAATGGCATGAACGCGGGAGGCGGAGCTTGCAGTGAGCCGACATCGCGCCACTGCACTGCACTCCAGCCTGAGTGACAAGAGTGAGACTCCATCTCAAAAAAAAAAAGAAAAGAAAAAATCTTAAGGAAGACAAAAGAAAATCACTGAGAGATGAGCCCATAGCAAACAGTATTATATTACTCTATTGGATCTTCGTTTCTGAGCGATACAGAAGTGAAAGATAATATGAAAAAATACTGAGAAGAGAGGTCAGAATGCAAATGCTCCCCCTTTCTCTGTGATTCTGACTCTAGGAGATCTGACCTAACCAAGGAAATAATGCAGGTGGTGTGCGCCCAGACATAACTAACCTCTCCTAGCATATAAAGACCCATCATATATTAATTAATTAATTTTTTTTTTTTGAGATGGAGTTTCGCTCTTTTTGTGCAGGCCGGAGTGCAATGGTGCGATCTCGGTTCACTGCCACCTCCACCTCCACCTCCTGGGTTCAAGCAATTCTCCTGCCTCAGACTCCCAAGTAGCTGGGATTACAGGCACCCGCTACCATGCCCAGCTAATTTTTGGAGTTTTGTAGAGATGGAGTTTTGCCATGTTGGTCAGGCTGGTCTCAAACTCCTGACCTCAGGAGATCCACCCACCTTGGCCTTCCAAAGTACTGGGATTACAGGCGGGAGTCACTGTATTGGCCTCATCATATATTAATTTCTTTATGCCAGAGTTTAATCCTTTATAAAACATTTTCCTATAAAAGTGATAGATGACTCATAATTTGTAAAGTTTGAGGTCTCAAGTTTTTTTTTTTGTTTTTTGTTTTTTGAGATGGAGTGTCGCTCTGTCACCCCAGCTGGAGTGCAATAGCACAATCTTGGCTCACTGCAACCTCTGCCTTCCGGGTTCAAGCGATTCTCCTGCCTTAGGCTTCAGAGTAGCTGGGAGTACAGGCACACCACCACGCCTGGCTAATTCTTTGTATTTTTAGTAGAGACAGGGTTTCACCACGTTGGCCAGGATGGTCTCGAACTCCCAACCTCAGGGGACCCACCTACCTCAGCCTCCCAAAGTGCTGGGATTACCAGCGTGAGCTACCGTGCCCAGCCGGTCACAAGCTATCATCTACCACTATTTACGTTTACTGGAGGGCTTAGAGGGGATTAGGATATGGCTAGTGAATTAGTATGGCTGGAGTGTAAATGAAAATGGTTCTTCCACCTGACCTACTGATTCTATTACAGACAGTGCTTTTATAAATATCATAAATGAAGTTCATAAGGATGGTGCCTCTATCAATAACAGAAGAATTATAACTTACCTGTAAGAAAAAGTTCCATGGCTTGGGCACACCATAGCTTCCTGGAAAGACAGCTTCTATATACCAGGCCACAAGGCTATACAAGAAAGCATCAAATAAAAACATTCCCAGCACATGGGCAAAATAAAAGTTATCCAGTGTAGTTGATGAGAAGATGTTACTCCATTTAAGTCCAACTCCTAAGACATAACAGCAGAGGATGAATTTGGTGCCAACTGAGGTTAAAACAGTTATTTATCTATATCAAATTAAATACTTAAGAAAATAATTGTGTTGATGCTTTCTGGAGATCCCTACTACAGTCAGTCACTTTCTTGCACCCTTAGAATTTAGGTTGCCCCTGAGGGCATCTCAGTAACTAATCAGGTAATATGCTCCCCATTATACCCCAAACAAGCAAATAACTGGAAAAGACTGAAACAAAAATAAAATGTAGCTGTGTGTGGTGGCTCACACCTGTAATTTCAACACTTTGGGAGGCTTAGGCGGGCAGATCACCTGAGGTCAGGAGTTCGAGACCAGCCTGGCTAACGTGGTGAAACCCCGTTTCTACTTAAAACGCAAACATTAGCTGAGCATGGTGGCAGGTGCCTGTAATCCCAGCTGCTCGGGGACTGAGGCAGGAGAATCGCTTGAACCTGGGAGGCAGAGGTTGCAGTGAGCTGAGATCACACCACTATACCCCAGCCTGGGCCATAGAACAAGACTGTCTTAAAAAAAAAAAAAAAAAAAAAATTATATATGTAAGAAAAAGTTCCATGTCTGGGGCACACCATAGCTTCCTACAAAGGCAGCTTCTATATACAAGGCTATACAAGAAAGCATTAAATAAAAACATTCCCAGCACATAGGCAAAAAAAAAAAAAATTTTTTTGTTACATATATAAAAGTCAGGAAAATAGGGTTTAACAAAAATAAGCAGGCTTATGGGTTGTTAAGACAGTGGCTCCTCTCTCTCCACCCCTCCTCATGCCAAATGTTCATGGAAATAAAAAATTTTAGAAAAACATAACCATTGAAAAGTAGGGATGAATGCTGACCAAAAGACAGAAGAACAGAAGAATTCTTGCATAGATACGCGCTCATAGTAAAAGGAAGGAGGATACTAAAAGCAGACCGTGTCACTTTCCATCTATCATTAGACAGCAGGAGGCAACTCCAAAAGGAGAGAGAGGAGGCTTGCAGGAAATTGTGGAAATACTAATACAGAATGCGGAAGCACTCACGTCTATAGGTGGTGGTATAAAGTACTGCAGTTTTTTGAAGGGGAGTTTAGCAGTCTCAATCAATATTAGAATTGGAAATATCCAATCAGATACCAAAGATGTATCTACTAGAAACATTGTAAAAATTACAAGGTAAATACTCACTCCATGTTTCTGCATCAGCTAGAAATTTAACTCCCAATGCCATTGCAAAATTTGAGCTGAGACAGGCTGCCAGCTTCTGGATAAATGTCATTTTTCCATAGTAGACATGGAGGCCAGCAGCTGGAAAGTAGATAGCGAAAAAAAACAAACCTCCCAAAGCAACTGCAATATTCACTGCAATTAAGAAGAAAATTATAAGGTCAATTTAAGCAATCTTCAAGAATCTAACATGCAAATATTTTTGTTGATGTGTGCACGAAAATAAGTGCTGTGAGAAACAGAAACTTGACTGTTTTATACAACATTGCTTCCCTCAGCACAGGGCTCTAATAGATAAAGTAAACAGCAGGCAAAATTAGTAAGCAATTTAAGTATAGAGATAAAAATCCTAAGAATGAATGAAAAAGAAATGCTAACGATTAAAAACAGTGTAACCAAAATGAAGAATGCCTTTGAGGGGTTTATTCATAGACTGGACATGGCTAAGGAAAGAATCTCTGAGCTTAGAGATATACGGATAAAAATCTCAAGAACTGTAAAGCAAAGAAAACAAAGACTGAAAAAAAAAAAGGACAGTACAAAATATCCAAGAACCATGTGACAATTGCAAAATGTATAATAAATGCATAATGAGTACATAAGAAGTAGAAAAAAGAAAGAAACAGAAGAAATATTTGACACAATAATGACTGCAAATTTCCCCCACATTAACGTCAGACGCCACACCACAAACCCAGAAAACTCAGAGGACACCAAGCAGGATAAATGCCAGGAAACTTCAACTAGGCAAATCATTTTCAAGTTACGGAAAATCAAAGCTAAAGAAAACAAAAGCCTGAAAAAAGCCAGAGGAAGAAAATACCTTACTTAAAGAGGAACAAAGATAATTACATCCAACTTCTTTTCAGAAACAAAACCAGAAGGGGATTGAAATATTTAAAGTGTTGGAAGAAAAAAACTTCCAATCTAAAATTCTGCACCCTGTGAAATTATCCTTTGAATGTAAAAGAGAAATAGACTTTCCTAGACAAACAAACATTGAGGAAATTTGTTGCCAGTTCACCCGCCTTGCAAGAAACATTAAAAGAAATTATTTTAAGAGAAGAAAAGTGAAACCTGAATCTCTTTATGTAGATTAGGTTAGAACCTCTAATCCACTTAAAGAAGAGCACCAAAGAATTAATAAGTGAAGGTAACGTAAAATCTTTTTTCCCCATCTTTATTGAAAAATAACAATTGTATATATTTCAAGTGTATGATGTGATGATTTGATATACCTATACATTGTAAAATGATTATCACAATCAAGCTGATTGACACATCATCTCATATTTGTGTGTGTGGGGTCGGGTGGAGAGAGAATACTTAATATTTACTTTGGATAAAGAAAATGTGGTACATACACACCATGCAATACTATGCAGCCATAAAAAAGAATGAGATCATATCCTTTGCAGGGACACAGATGGAGCTAGAAGCCATTATCCTTAGCAAACTAATACAGTAATGGAAAACCAAATACTGCATGTTCTTACTTATAAGTGGGAGCTAAACGATGAGAATGCATGGACATATAGAGGGGAACAACACACATGGGGGACTTTTGGAGGGTGTAGAGTTAGAAGACAAAGAGGATCAGGAAAAATAACTAATGGGTACTAGGCTTAATATCTGGGTAATGAAATAATCTGTACAACAAACCCCCACGACACAAGTTTACCTATGTAACAAACCTGCACTTGTGTCTCTGAACTTAATAAAAGTTAAAAAATTGAAGTATACAATATAGTATTATTAACTGTTGTCATCATGATGTACATGTCTTGTTCTTAATTGATCTAACAACTAAGAGTTGATTCACAAAAATAACAGCAACAATGAATTTGATTATGTACATTTATGTATACATATATCTTAGGTATATATATTTATGTGTGTTTATATATAAATGAAATGAATGACAACCATGATAGGATGGGAGAAAGGAATTAGAATTATTTTGTTATTATAAGGTACTCACACTACTAGTGAAGTAATATAGTGTTATTTTAAAGTAATTTTGAATTACTGTAAACTCTAGGGCAACTACTAAAAAAAGTAAAAAAAGAAAAAAGAAGTACAACTGATATGCTGGGGAGAGAAAATGGAACCATATAAAATGCTCAAGGAAAACCACAAAAGGCAGAGAAAGAATGGAAGACAAAAGTAGAAACAAAGAATAAGGGCAACAAATAGAATACTATTGAACAAATATGGTAGATATTAATCTAACTATATTAATAATCACTTTGAATGTCAAAGGTCTAAATGCACCAATTAAAAGAGATTGTCAGAGGGGATTAGAAAAAAATAAGGCCCTATGGAATGTGGTCTACAAGAAACCCATGTTAGCTATGAAAACCCATGTAGATTAAAAGCAAATGGGTGGAAAAAATATACCATGCTAACACTAATCAAAAGAAAGCAAGACTAGCCATATACATTACAGTCTCAGCACACTTCAAAGCTAGTAAAGTTATCAGAGATGAAGAACGGCATTACATAACAATAAATGGGTCAAATCTCCAAGAAGACATAACAATCCTTAAAGTGTATGCACTTAAGAGCAGACCATCAAAATACATGAGTGAAAAACTATAGAACTCTAAGGAGAAAAAGCTGAATCCACTATCATAGTTGGAGACTTTCATAACCCTCTATCAGAAATGGACAGATCCAGCAGGCAGAAAATCACTAAGGACATAGTTGAACTCAACAACACCATCAATCAATAGTATATAATAAACATCTATAGACTACTTAATTTAACGACAGCAGAATACAAATTGTTGTCAAGCTCACATGTAACATTCACCGGGACAGACCATATTCTGGGTCATAAAACACATCTTAACAAACGTAAAGGGACAAAAATCATACAATGTCAGCTCTCAAACCATATGACATTAAAATAGAAAAAAAATAACTGAAACATACTGGGAAACATCAAAACACATGGAGATTAAATGATATATTTCTAAATTACACTTGGGTCAAAGAAGAAATATCATGAGAAATTAATGCGTTGAAGGCATATATTAGAAAAGAAGAAGGATCTAAAACCAATAATCTAAGTTTCTACCTTAGGAAACTAGAAAAGGAAGAACAAATTAAATCCACAGTAAGCAGAAGAAAAGAAATCATGAGCATTAGAGTAGAAATTAATGATATTAAAAACAGGAGATCAGTAGAGAAAATTAATGAAACCAAAAGCTACTTGTTTGAAAATATTAATAAATCTTTAGGCATGCTAAGAAAAAAAAAGACAAAAATTAATAATACAGTAAAAAGATAAGTTTGCCAGGAGTTGAGTGATTACGATGTGTTAATATAGGTTTATCAATTGTAACAATTGTACTACTCTGATGTGGGATGCTGATAATGGGTGAGGCCTTGCATGTGGGGAGCAGAGGGTCTGCAGGAAATCTCTGTACCTTCATCATAATTTTGCTTTTAATCTAAGACTGTTCTTAAAAATATCTTTTAAAAAAATTAGGAAGGGCCAAGAGTGGTGGCTCATGCCTGTGGTCCCAGCACTTTCGGAGACTGAGGCGGGCGGATCCCTTGGGGCTAGGAGTTAGAGACCAGCTTGGGCAATGTGGTGAAACCTCATCTCTACTAAAAAACACAAAAATTAGCCAGGCATGGTGGCACACGCCTGTAATCCCAGTTACTTGGGAGGCTGAGGCACGAGAATCACTTGAACCAGGAGGCAGAGGTTGCAGTGAGCCAAGATGGCACCAGTGTACTCCAACCTGGGCAACAGAGCAAGACTGTCTCAAAAACAAACAAAAAAATTAAGAGATATTAGGAAATTCCCAGATTAGCAAAAGCAAAGAAAATTTAATAGATCTGCCCTACAATGTGGTTCTTTCAGCTTAATGAAAGGACATTAGATGGTAGCGTGAAGTCATATGAAAAAATAAAGAGCTCCAGTGAAGGTAACTACATAGGCAGATATAAAAGCCAGTGTTATGATAATGGTTTCTTTTTCCTTTTATATGATTTAAAAGATAAATGCATAAAATAATGATAAACGTGTTAATAGGCACACAATATAAAGATGTAATTTGGAAAAATACCAACATAAAGAGGAGCTGACGCTTGACAGAAGAGTTTTTGTGTAGTATTAAAGCTAAATTGTTATTAATCCAAATTAAATTGTTTAAGATACTAATTGTAATATCCAAATTACCCCCTCAGAGAAGAATTAGAAAATATACAGAAAAGGAAATTAGATGGGACTCAAAATGGAAGATTTGAGGGAAAAAAAGATATGACATATATAAAACAAATACCCAAACGGCAGATGATGTCAGCTCTGTATTTTTTTTTTTTTTTTTTTTTTTTTGAGATAGAGTCTCACTCTGTCACCCAGGCGGGAGTGCAGTGGCATGATCTTGGCTCACTGCAACCTCTGCCTCCCAGGTTCAAGTAGTTTTCCTGCCTTAGCCTCTGGAGTAGCTGGGATTACAGGCACATGCCACCACACCCAGCTAATTTTTGTATTTTTAGTAGAGACAGGGTTTAACCATGTTGGTCAGGCTGGTCTCGAACTCTTGACCTCGTGATGCATCCGCCTCAGCCTCCCAAAGCTGGGACTACAGGCGTGAGCCACCGTGTGTGGCCAATGTTCTGTATTATTATCTTCACTAAAAGGCAAAGGTGGCAGAATGGATTTTTAAAAAATGATTCAAATACAGAAACTTGTTGAAAGTGAAAGGATGGAAAAAGACACTCCATGCAAATAACAAAAAGAGATCAGGGTGGTTATATGAATATTAGACAAAATAGACTTTAAGTAAAAATATTGTGAGAAATTTTCAATAACTATAAAAAATCAGAATGCATTAACAGAGTTACAGAAGAGGAGACACACATGACTCATATTAGTAACACACGCTCAGCTTCATTAGCAATTGGGAAATGCAGATTTAAGTTGCTATGCGATAACATTTCATAGCCCTAATTTGGCACAATTTAAAGCTTGGTAATTCTAAATATTGGCAAGAATATGGAGCATGATGATTCTCATCTTCTTCCAGTGAGGCTGTAAATTCATAAAACCACTTTGCACATAAGCCCTCAATGGGAAAGGAAACGATTTTTCTTGTTCTTTGTATGTTAGACCCTATACAAGGTCAGATACCCACATTTTTTTTTTTTTTTTTGAGACAGAGTCTCACTCTGTTGCCCAGGCTATAGTGCAGTGGTGCAATCTTGGTTCACTGCAACCTCCACCTCCCAGGTTTAGGTGATTCTCCTGTCTCAGCCTCCTGAATAACTGAGATTACAGGTGCCCACGATCACACATGGCTAATTTTTGTATTTTCAATAGACAGAGTTTCACCACGTTGGTCAAGTTGGTATCGAAGTCCTGACCTCAAGTGATCCACCCACCTTAGCCTCCCAAAGTGCTGGGATTACAGGTGTGAGCCACCACTCCCAGTCACAGATATCCAAAAATTTAAATGAATGAATGAATGAATGAATGAATGAATAGTTGCATCCACTGACTTGACTTCCTATTCATTCCCTTCTTCCAATCCTTCACAAACCTACCTCAATTGAAGCATTTCCAGGCCTTTCTCAACCTGGAATATCTTAATCCATTTCCTTTTTTTTTAATGTGTACACTATACTTCATTAATTTTCATTGTTCTCTGCATGTCTTCTTATGATGGTTAATGTTATGTGTCAACTTGACTCTCCATGGGGTATACAGATTAAACATTATTTCTGGGTGTGTCTGTGAGGAGGTTCCCAAATGAGATAAGCATTTGAGTTAGTAGACTCAGTAAAGCAGATGGTCCTCCCCAATGTGGGCAGGCATTATCTAATGTGTTGAGGGCCTAAAAAGAACAAAAGGGTGGAGGAAGTGGGAAATTCTCTCTCATTTCTTCCTTGCTGCCTGCTTGACTGGGACATTAGTCTGTTCCAGCCTTTGAACTGGAATTTACACCATCACCTCCCCTGGTTCCCAGGCCTTCAGAGTCAGACTGGAATTATATCGCTGGTTTTCCTGGGTACCCAGCTTGTACTCTGCAAATCATGTGACTCTCGCTAATGTATTTCATAAACTACTTTGTTTGCATATAATATTCATGTCCCCAAGGTCAATATTCGCTCCGTGGGGCAGACAGTATATTTCAGATACATATGCTGGGCATGGTGGCTCATGCCTGTAATCCCAGCACTTTGTGGGGCTCAGGCGGGCGGATCACCTGAGGTCAGGAGTTCAAGACCAGCCTGGCCAACATGGTGAAATCCCATCTCTACTAAAAATACAAAAATTAGCCGGGCATGGTGCCAGGCACCTGTAGTCTCAGCTACTCAGGAGGATGAGGCAGGAGAATTGCTTGAACCCAGGAGGCAGAGGTTGCAGTGAGCCAAGATTGAGCCACTGCACTCCAGCCTGGGCCACAGAATGAGACTGTCTCAAAACAAACAAACAAACAAACAAAAAGCAAAACAAAACAAAAACAAATACACAGAAGACACACAATGAGGATCTATTAATTAAGTGCAAGAACCCTTTCTTTCATTGAAGCAGTGCTGCCGTTTTCTTTCTCTTCACATATACCACTCTCATCATCAGATACTAGCAAACATCAGATCCTCCAACGGAATATACAGGAGCCATCTCCATCTCAACCCTTCCTGGTGGAAGGGTTTGACAAACACCATACATGAAGTAGCAGCTAAAGGTTAGAAAGAATATCCAGACATGATCTTATTTTGGTTTTTGTCTTTATTCACATGTATCCTATGCTATGTTAATTGTCTCTTCATTCCTTTCCAAATCATTTCACATGTATATGATATTTGTCTTTTCGGTTAGAGTGTGTAAACAGAGGCTGTAGATGAGTTGGCAGCTAAAGTGTAGTTACTGAGAATATTTCACCACTGGAATCTCAGACTCACCTTTACTGAATAAAGTGCTAACCATAAAGCTGAAGCATATTGTGGCGATGGCATAAAACAGCAAAAAGATAACGATAAGGGTTGGGTCACTGCTTTGGATGACTGGTGCCGGTTTAACCTAGCAAAACAATTAGGAAACCAGTTTAGTCATGCTCTAAGTGGTACTGCACCAAAACCAAAGAGGAAAAATGAAACATCCATAAGTATTTTAAGAGTCTTAGTGAAACCGATGACTTTGCTCAGTGAAATGGAGAGTTAACAATTTATTTCTTACAGATGGCCCATCCCTCTAGGTCTAAAGTTTTGTTTGCTGAGAGACTAAGCAGTCTCTGAGTTTCCACTGTGGAGTCAACAAAAGCCACATTTTCATCCCCTAGAAACTCAAGGCCCATTTGGCCCCACACCATGTTTCCGCTTTCCCTCTCAGAGTTTATTCACAACATGCTGCAGTCAAATAGACACTTGCCTTGACAAAGAAAACTATGCACATAAAAATGATGATAATGGAATACAAACAGAGGAATGTGAAGAAATAGGCCACCCAGAGCATCCAATTACTGACTCCTATCATGAGCTGATACTCCTGTGGGAGAGTTGACAGAAATCAGATATCATGTAAAATAATACATCCATACAGTGCCTTAGACTTTTCAAAATACATTCACAAATATTATCTAGTTTAATGTCTACAATCAAAATGGGTTAAATAATGAGTATTATTATCTCCAATTTATAAAGGATAGAATCAGGGCTCAGAAAGTCAAGTAGCTTCAGCAGTACTGTGATTCTTAAAAGCCCAGAAATAATTTCCCCAGTAACTCACCTTATATTGTTAAGACATGTAAAACAGTTAAATGAAGCTATAAACCATCTATATTATCATCTCGTTTCTTTTTATATCCTCTCTCAGAAAGAATTAAAAAATTTTAAATATATTTTAATTCACTCACAATGGTTAGAAACAAACATTAAAAATAAGATAACAGGTAAGGAAGAAAAAGCTCACAGAATTTTAGCAATAATCTTTATGAACTATACATTTTCTTTAGAGGTAGTTGTTTATAGACATATGTGGTATTTCAAGTTTTAACAAAAAAAACGTGAATATAATGTATAAGTCTGTTAAGAAGATTCAAGTAAGTGATATAAGTTTTCAGAGGCTAATTTAGATATTTTTACTGAATTTTATTAATATGTCAATAGTAAATTCTATAGCTTTAGGCTGTATAAGGGCAGATAACTGTATCTGCCTGGCACATAGAAGGTGTTTAATAAATGTCTGCTGAATAAATAAATGAATGAATGTGAGAATCTTTGGAAATATGCGTATTTTTCAGTTTTAAAAAATGAATACAGGACCACTTTATTACTTACAGGGGACAAAAATAGAGAGATAAAGTGTCTCTTAAATTTTCTAGGGATCAGTGCTAGAACCAGACTTAACAAATTTTATCAAACAATTAAAATGACAAAGTATATTTAACAAAAGAAGTGCAAGAGTTCTACACAGAACACTATAAAACACTGTTGAAAGAAATTAAAGCATAATAAATGGAAAGATGCCTCACTTATATGGATCAGAAGACTTAATATTATTAAGATGGCAATACACCTCAATTTGTTCTGCAGATTGAGCACAATCCCTTTCAAAATCTCTGTGGTTATTTTACATAGATTGACAAGCATATAGAGTCTTGCTCTGTCACCAAGGCTGGAGTGCAATGGTGTGATCTCGGCTCACTGCAACCTCCACCTCCTGGGTTCGAGATCAGTAAGGAAAAAGCCAATTTAACCTAACATACACAGAGCATGCCACCCAGCAAAAACAGAATACAGATTTTTCTCAAGTGTGCATAGAACATATCCAGGATAAACCATATTACTCTACAAAACAAGTTTTATTACATTTAAAGACTGAAATTATACAAAATACCTTTTCTTATCACAAAGGAATAAAACTAGAAAACAATAGCAAAAGGAAAACTGGAAAATTCATAAATATGTGGAAATGAAGCAAAACACTCTTAACCAACCAAAAGCTAAATGAAGAAATCAGAAGGAAATGCAGCAACTGCCTTGAGACAAATAAAACAAAAGCACAACATACTAAAACTTGTAAGATGCAGTGAAAGCAGTACTCAGAGGGAAATTTATAGCTGTAAATACCTACATTAAAGAAAAAGAAAAATTTCAAATAAATAACCTAACTTTACACCTTAAGGAACTAGATGAGTAAAGTATACATAAATTTAGGAGAAAAAAGGAATTGAGATAAATAGAGAATAGGTAAATAATAGAGAAATTCAACAAAACCAAAAGTTAATAATTTGAAAAGATAAAGAAATTGACAAACTTTTAGCCAGACTAAGAACAATTGAGAAGACTCAAATAACTAAAAATCAGAAATGAAAGTGAGAGCATTACTTCTGATTTTACAGAAAAAGAATGATCTCAGAGTATTATGAACAACTGTATGCCAAAATATTGAATAACATAGATGAAATGAACCAATTTGTAGGAACATACAACTACCCAGCCTGAGTCATGAAGAAATACAAAATCTGAACTGACTTATAACTAGTAAGGACATAAAATCAGTAATCAAACCACTCAACAAAGAATAACCCTGGACCAGGGGGCTTTACTGGTGAATTCTACCAAATATTTAAAGAAGAATAAACAATAATCCTTTTCAAACTCTTCCAGAAAACTGAAATGGAGATAACACTTTCTAACTTATTTTATGAGGCCAGGATTACCTTGATAGCAAAGCCAGGCTAAAACATGACATGGAGAGATTATGAATATTGATGAAAAGGTTCTCAACAGAAATATTAGCAAGTAAAAATCCCCAGCATATTAAAAGGATTATATATCATGACCAAGGAGGATTTATATCTGGAGTACAAAGAGGATTCAACAAACACAATCAATTAGTTTAATGCATCACATGCAGAAAAGAATGGAAAAAACACATAATCATCTCAATTGACGCAGAAAAATATTAACATTTTTTAAATGATGAAACACTCAATGCACTAGGAATAGAAGGACATTTCCTCAACATAATAAAGGCCATATATAAAAATCTGCAACTGACATCATAATATTTCATCAACAATCAGGAGAAAGACAAATATGCCTGCTTTTTCCATGGGCTAGAAATTTAAGTTCTAGCCAGAAAAAGTAGGCAAGAAAAATAAAAGCCATCCAAATTGGAAAGAAAGAAATAAAAATATCTCTGAAAATGACAAGATCTAGCCATACTTACACACAAAAAATAAATTCAGCAAAATTGTAGGATACAAAAACACAGAAAAATTACTTGCATTTCTATATACTAACAACAGACAATCCAAGATGAAAATTAAGAAAACAATCGTATTCACAATAGCATGGAAATGACTACAATACTTAGGAATAAAGAACAATGGAGACAAAAGATTTCAACACAAAAAACCCACAAAACATTGCTGAAAGAAACTAAGGCAAATATACGTTAAAAACATCTCATGCGTTTTAAAATGTAGATTTTATTATTACTCAAGTATAGTGAAGCCAACAGATCAGGAGACAACTGCCACTGAGAAAACATAAATAATGATCCATTACTGGGTATATACCCAAAGTATTTAAAATCATTCTACTATAAAGACCCACGCACACGTATGTGTACTGCGGCACTGTTCACAATAGCAAAGACTTGGAACCAACCCAAATGTCCATCAAGGATAGACTGGATAAAGAAAATGTGGCACGTGGATCGTTCCAAGACGGCCAAAGAGGAACAGCTCAGGTCTACAGCTCCCAGCGTGATTGACGCAGAAGATGGGTGATTTCTGCATTTCCAACTGAGGTATGTGGTTCATCTCACTGGGACTGGTTGGACAGTGGGTGCAGCCCACGGAGTGTAAGCCAAAGCAGGGCAGGGCATTGCCTCACCTGGGAAGTGAAAAGGGTCAGGGGATTTCCCTTTCCTAACCAAGGGAAGCCATGAGAGACAGTACCTGGAATATCGGGACACTCCCGCCCTAACACTATGCTTTTCCAGTGGTCTTCACAAGAGGCACACCAGGAGATTATATCCCACACCTGGCTCTGTGGGTCCCATGCCCACAGAGCATAGATCACTGCTAGTGCAGCAGTCTGAGATCGAACTGCCAGGCGGCAGCCAGGCTGGGGGAGGGGAGTCCATCATTGCTGAGGTTTGACTAGGTAAACACAGCAGCCAGGAAACTCAAACTGGGTGGAGCCCACCACAGCTCAACGAGGCCTATCTGCCTTTGTTGACTTCACCTCTGGGGGCAGGGCTTAGCTGAACAAAAGGCAGCAGAAACTTCTGCAGACTTAAACGTCCCTCTCTGACAGCTCTGAAGAGAGCAGTGACTCTCCCAGCATGGAGTTTGAGCTCTGAGAACGGACAGAATGCCTCCTCAAGTGGGTCCCTAACCCCCAAGTAGCCTAAATGGGAGACACCTCCCCAGTAGGGGCCAACTAACACCTCATACAGCTGGGTGCCCCTGTGAGATGAAGCTGCCAGAGGAAGGATCAGGCAGCAATATTTACTGTTCTGCAATATTTGCTGTTCTACAGCCCCCGCTGGTGATACCCAGGCAAACAGGGTCTGGAGTGGACCTCCAAAAAACTCCAACAGACCTGCAGCTGAGGGTCCTGACTGTTAGAAGGAAAATGAACAAACAGAAAGGAATAGCATCAACATCAACCAAAAGGACATCCACACCAAAACCCCATCTGTAGGTCACCATCATCAAAGACCAAAGGTAGATAAAATCACAAAGATGGGGAGAAACCAGAGAAGAAAAGCTGAAACTTCTAAAAACCAGGGTGCCTCTTCTCCTCCAAAGGATTGTAGCCCCTCACCAGCAATGGAACAAAGTTGGACGGAGAATGACTTTGACGAGTTGACAGAAGTAGGCTTCAGAAGGTTGGTAATAACAAACTTCTCTGAGCTAAAGGAGCATGTTCAAACCCATCGCAAGGAAGTTAAAAACCTTGAAAAAAGATTAGATAAATGGCTAACTAGAATAAACAGCATGGAGAAGACCTTAAATGACCTGATGGAGCTGAAAACCATGGTACGAGAACTACGTTACACATGCACAAGCTTCAGTAGCCTATTCATTCAAGTGGAAAAAAGGGTATCAGTGACTGAAGATCAAATTAATGAAATAAAGTAAGAAGACAAAGTTAGAAAAAAAGAGTAAAAAGAAACAAACAAAGCCTCCAAGAAATTTGGGACTATGTGAAAAGACCAAATCTACGTTTGATTGGTGTACCTGAAAGTGACGAGGAGAACGGAACCAAGTTGGAAAACACTCTTCAGAATATTATCCAAGAGAACTTCCCCAACCTAGCAGGGCAGGCCAACATTCAAATTTAGGAAATACAGAGAACACCACAAAGATATTACTCGAGAAGAGCAACCCCAAGACACATAATTGTCAGATTCACCAAGGTTGAAATGAAGGAAAAAATGTTAAGGGCAGCCAGAGAGAAATGTCGGGTTACCCACAAAGGGAAGCCCATCAGACTAACGGCAGATCTCTCGGCAGAAGCCCCACA